CTATTAAACATAATCTCCCTTTCCTATTTAAAATGGGATATTTTAATATTTTAATAATTAATATCCGGTGATATCCGGTGATGTTTTAAAATACCTCAATGTTGTTTTTCTGACCTGTGACAATATGGTGCGAGATAATGCAAATTTCAAACATCTTCATCGGCCAATGACAGGAAAGTTGTAAAATTCCTGTCGGGGTTATGAACTTCTAACCACTAAAAGGTGTTTGTCTTGACACAGAGCCAAGTTATTCTGTTAAGATCAAGGTCACTGACAGAAGAAATATTTTCTTTACTACGCTATGAATTAGTAAATGAAAATCATTGGTGGATCTTACTTGAAACATAGATTACTTATGATTTGAGGATTTGTCATGAACCTGATCAAATGTCTTTCTGGCAAATCAAGGTCACTGTCAAAGAAAAAAATGTTTAAGCATAACGTTATAATTATAATTTACTGGAGGCTCATGCTGGGAAGAAAGGTTGTTGACATAAGAAAGTGCAGTGACCTTGACCCAGGGTCTGTGCTTCCTGTCCACAGCTCCAACGGAAGACCTACTCGTTGCTTTGCAACGAGCTCGGCTCTAGTTTCATTTCTGATTCTGTTATGCTAATATAAAATATATTTTCCCATTTTTTACAAGTTGGTTGCTCAATCAATTGTTCTATCATAGTCCAAAAATAGTCTTTGCATTGTATTTTTGAAACTGGACATTTCTTATCATCTATAGAAAGTGGCGTTCGCTTCGTGATCGGGAGGCCCGGGTTCGATTCTCGATCGCGGCGCCGCGTCATACCTAAGACGTAAACATAGGTAGTGACTGTTCCTTCGCCAAGCGCTCGGCACTAGAAGTGAAAGTCACGGGTCTTTCGGATATGACCTTAAAAACGTAGGTCCCGTGTCACGGTAGGCGTTGGCACGGTAAAGAACCCTCACTGGCCCTGAGTGCCGAGTATAGGTCTAAATTTGAAGCCCTTCACCGGCATCGGTGACGTCTCCATATCTGTGAAAAATTCTCAAGAGGGACGTTAAACAATATACAATCAATCAATCAATCTATAGAAAGTGTTAATTTATTTCTATTAAAATTAGGTTTTTGCTTATCCCTCAAAATTTTTCGCCATTCATATGGTATTGCCAATCTAATAGACATGTAGTCCAGAAAAGAAATGTTTATTCCATAACGCTCGACTAATTCATCATGACTTAAAACGTCTCTATTTTCACCTATAATGTCATTTACATAAAGTATTCCACAATTGTACCATTTTATCCAGAAGATACGTGTTTTATTGATCTTGATTTTATCATTAAACCATAAAATTTCCTTAAATACTTTAAGTTCAACACAAACATTATCATAGGTTCTAAATTGCTTCCACCAATATAAAATGTCTCTATAAAGTTGTGGTATATGCATGTGTAAAAAATCTATAATGCATCTTGATTGAAGTAAACTTTGTGAAATTATATCTTCAAAATATGCTTGAAAAATTATAAACCATTTTGGTTGTTGATTATCAGAACAATACATTCTTTTAGTCCAATTTAGTCTACCGTATATACTCGCCCATAAGTCGGTCTTTTGGGAGTCAATCTCTGGTCCAAAACTCTGTGTCCGACTTATAGGCGAGCTATAAAAAGAATGGTATTATATGAGGTCAGTCCATCTGAAATACAAGTTTATTAAATACAACCGACTTATAGGCGAGTATATACGGTAAGTGACTTAATCTGATTTTCAGAGTTTGGAACTTTAAGTCCACCCTTATTATTTTTTTGACATGCTACAGTTAATCTAAAGTTTGATTTATCACTATTCCATATAAAATTTGATATCATTTTATTTACTTTTTTTCATTATCTCTTTAGAAATTGGTAGTGCAGTAGCTGGATAAATAACTTTAGGATTTGCTAGTGTTTTTGTAATTAAAATCCTTCCTATTAGAGTTAAGATCCTCATTTTCCAAAGGTTGAGAGTTGTTTAATGTCATCTACTTTGGAATTGAAATTTTTCACTAAAGTCATGTTCCCCATGTACAATAAACCAGATTCCGAGTGTAAAGAATAAACCACTGGACCATTTTACTGGTAAGCTGCCCGAATGATAATTCCTACAGCTACCAACCGATATGGCCTCTGTTTTATTAAGATTGATCTTTAAACCAGAACAATATTTAAAATTTTGGATGATTCTCAATTATTCAAATCCTGATTTTTTATCACTTAAGAAACAAGTAGTGTCATCTGCTAGCTGACTGATTTTAAATTCTGTTTCACAGATTCGTATACCATGAATGTTTTTATTTGATCTAATTGCAATAGCCAATAATTCAACACATAAGATAAATAAGTAAGGTGATAACGGACATCCTTGTCTATCTTGAAAAAGGAGAAGGAATATCCATTATTGATTAAGCAACTTGTTATTTCTGAATATAAGATGCGTACCCATTGTTGTTACCCTTTGCCAAATCCAAAAGTTTCTAAAACTTTACCATTCAACTGTTTAAAAAGCTTTTTTTCAAAATCTACTAACAAAATAAGTTCAGGAATATTTTTAATACTTGTGTAATCAATAAGATCTGCGATAGTTCTAATATTTTCTCCTATATATCTATTTTTAATGTAACGTGCTTGATCAACCTGAACTATGTAAGGCAGTAGTTTTTTTTTAATTCTACTTGCAAGAACTTTAGCTTATATTTTATAATCAAAATTCAATACTGATATTGGTCTCAAATTCTTTAATAAAGTTCTATCTTTATATTTTTTTAGGTACAAGAGTGATGATTCCCTTTATTTGATCCAGAGAGATAGATGATTGTTGATTGCTTTCATTTAAACTGTTTATTACCAGATCTGCTATTTCAGGCCAAAAGTACTTATAGAATTCAAACTGATGTCCATTACTTCCTGGATAATTATTTGGTTTAAATTCTTTTAGAGATATTTTCACATTCATCTTTACTTATTAAACCTTCATATGTTAGAGAATCTTCTTTAGTAAGTTTTGGAATATTTGTATCATTCACAAAGTGACTGATGTGTTTCTGATAATTATTGTTTTCCAAGTTAGCTGAATTTCTTCTTCCTTGAGAATTTCATTTTTATCGCATATAATTTTATCATTAACTACTAACTTATCTATACACTTATTTTTGTAGTTTCTTTTTTCTAAAGACAAAAAATATTTTGTAGATTTTTCTCCCTCTTCACACCATTTTGCTTGAAATCTCAATATTATGCCTCTTGTTTTTATGTCTGTTAATACATTTAATTTTTCTTTGATTTCATTTAATATGGCTGTTTTCTTCAAATGTATCTGTTGATAGTTTTCCATTTTGTTTATCTAATTTTTTTTAATAATCTTTATTCTTCCTGCCTACTTTTCTTTGCTTTTAATTTTGAATATTTAACAATAAACCCTCTTAATTAACATTTAATTGTGTTCAATTTTAATTGATGGTCAATTAAATTTTTGTACTTGTCTATTAAATAATTGATACGTTCTTTTGTTTTCTTCACAAAATCCTCATCTAATGATGTATTTAATTTCCAAAATCCAGGGCCTCTAGTATGATGGGCTTCACCTTTTAGTGTTAAAGATATTATACATATATCATATGGCTTCGAGGGTGACATACCAGAATATTTGCCCCGAGGTGACAGGAAAGCCCTGGAGTGTTATGTCACCCGATGCCGATCCTGTCACCGAGGGGAAAATATTCTGGTATAGTCGCCCGAGAAGCCATGTGGTATATGTTATATAACATTTTTAAAATTAAAAGAAAATTTAAAATCATTCAAAATCGTTAAAATGTACACAAATAATCCAAAAATGCATTCTTGACGTTAAGAAATACGCTGTGTTGTTTACTTTTGCTTAGCAACCGACGTCATAAAATCTCGAAGCCGAACTAAAATGCGTAACGTACAAACACGTGAACGTGATCGAAAATAGTGACATAACTGTTTCCGGCGAGGGTTGACATAACTGTTTCCGGTGTGACTCGGCATTTTTCAGGGTTTATAGCGAAACTTATTACATTTCGTGATATAATAGGAAAACTTATTCAAAAATTTTATATAACGCTATGATCTGTTTAATTGCAGGTTTTATGTTTGACTTTGCGTGTGGAGCAAGAAAAAATGAAATGATTAAAAAAAAATTTCTTGATAAAACTAAAGGATTCTTACATGAATATGTGTAATATTTTTTTTTTTATCTGGGTTTTGTTCTCTCTATATGTCTGATAAATTAAGATCTTCTAGTGCAGCTAAATTTTTATCTCTATAGCTAGATTTTTCCTTCAGTAGTACCACCTTTTTTATCTAGTGATAGATTAAAAGTTATATTGAAATGTCCTCCAATGACTAGGTTTTCATCGCTATACGGTTCTATGTAGGTCAATAATGAATTGAAAAAAATCCACCTGACAATTTGGATTATCCTTTGTTGAAGCATAAATATATAACTTTATAAAATAAAGTTGGTTTCATCTATCATAAAATTGACTTGGCTAATTCTACCTTCATTATCTTGTACATTTTCTTTAATGATATAATCTATATTATGAGGAAAAAGAATAGCTACTCCCCTGCTGTTTGATTAACCATGACTGAACTCTATATCAGACCCCCAATCCTTTAACCACTGACTTTCATTCTCTGAGGCTGAGTGCGTTTTTTTTTTAAATATAAAACTGTTTTTAAAGGAATTTTTTAGCCATGTAAAAATACCGAGTCTCTTAATTTTTGCGCCGAGTCCTCTAACATTAAGTGAAATACAAGATAACTCAAACGACATCAAAATTGAAAAACTCCACATGAACTGCAGTGCTACAATTGTATGACAACTAACACAATGTGTTAAAGAGCCAAAAATAACAAGAAAAGAAACCAAAAAAAAAAAGAAAATTAAAATATTTACAAAAAAAAACCAAAAAAGATACCTTTTTAAAAAGACACACATACACAGCATATATGCACACTCACTAACTGGTATGTCGGAGAACCACGTCAGTCAGCAGATTTTCCAAGATTTCAAATCGACGACTACCGATGTGCTTCGCTTGAAATCGCGAGATAACAACTGTCATGTTTTTGATTTGTAAGTTCTGCATCGCTTTCACTAATCTACGTCCTGCGCCAATTTCGCCATCATCGTTATATCCCTCATGAATCTGTCCATTTGAATCTTGAAATCTGTATACGATTATGTTGTGGTCAGCTTTGGCATGGGATTGATCACACAATGTTTTCTTGTACATGTCGCGCACGTGGTTGTAGCATTCCGTTGTTCCCCCAATCCCCCGGAAGAAGCTTCCCCCTTCATTAGTTTCCAGCTCTGTCACTTTGATCTTGTTCAGCGCTCCTCTTTCTGATTGATCCATTCCAAGGATTTGTTCAGCTTTTGTTTTTTTTTTTACTTTGTCTCTATGTACGCCTCCAATTGGAAATACAACTTTCTCTCCGATAATTCGTGTATTGACATTAGCTTTCAAGTATTTACTGTTCAACTCCAATAGTTTTTTCTGTTTTCTGATATTTCGATTGGAGTTTGTGGTGTAATGAAAAAAGTTGAATTTTGTTGCTTGGAAGAACTCTGGTTAGTTCCCTCTGCTTGTTCTGCACGTTGACTTTTGATAACCCTCTGAGCCTGTAAGATTAAGTCCTTATCCGTACATTTGTTGAGTCTCCCCGTGATGGTTCTTGCCTTTCTTTGTATTTTTGGACCGTTTTAGTGAATATTCGCAAAAGATGTTTCTACTTTAAAATGCGTCTTGATAAGTTCTAGGATTTTAGCAAATAGATCCTTGCCATCTTCTTCAGGAAGATTATGAATCAAAATATTTTGTTTCATAGATCCCGATTTGAGATCGATTATATCATTTTGATTTTTAATTAATGTTCTCTCCAGATTTATTACAATACATTTTAGCATCTGACATCTTCTTAGAGGGACCTGTTCTCTCTTCTCAGAAGCTGAAGCTCGTCATTCCCATATGCTTGTTGCTGGGCTATCAGTTTGAAAGTATATTTTTTAACATGTGCTATTATAAATAAAAGTGGAAACCTCTGCCTATCATGCTGCATCCCATTGAATACTCTTTTGTTCTTGTCAGTCACATTATGTCAGTTACAGTTAATGACAGTAAATCTGTGAATTTTACATCTCTTATATGAGAAAAAGTAGAACATCAACATTTCAAAGTGAATTTCATAGGTGTCTATTTTTATATATTTGTACTTTTTATAGATATGAGAGACTGTCCTCATTAGCATATTGAGGTTTACAGTATCTTTCATTTACCTAGCAATGGCATCTTAAACTCTGCCCAAATTTCTTTTTTTTTTTTTTGATTTTTCTGAAATATGTCATTTTTTAAGATATATATTACTAAAAATAGCATTGGGATCCTACTCTAATTTTTTCCATGAGGTGATACTACTAATGCAATATGACGACACCCATAGGAATCGAATAATTTCCATCGACAATTTCTTTTTTTCACCTAAAATATTTAAAAAATGACAAAATTATCCTTTTTTCATATTTTCTTATCCATTTTTCATATTTTCAGAAACTTTGCCATTTTGCAGACCCATCTTCTAAGAGTGGGTTTTATGCATTTATATTTCCTCAATATTCATCTTTTGTTTGGTCAAAAATGGTCGAAAATGGTCAAATCTAATGGATCCGTCACCATGACAAGCAAGTGCACGTGGGGGAACTTATAACACCATATTTATTGGTTTTGAGCCAAGGTGCATCTCTGGTGCGAATTTCATCAAAATCAGAGATATGTCGTTTCCAAGTTTTTTGGTGCTTGCAGACAATGCATGTTAAGCATTGGAAAATTAGAAATGTAAAATTTTTAAGACATATACTGTTTTTAAACAGTTTTTATTGTCATAAAGCATAAAAAAATATTCACAAAAACAGCTTTGCCTTGTAAATTTTTCTTAATGATATTGATTAATAGCAATATCCCCTATAATGCACATCTTCTAGCCCTTTTCCATGGCAACCAAGTAAACTACGGTACCCATACTTTCTAGCTTTTTCATATATTCCTTTTTTTCATTCATTGAAGTTTCAGTGAGAAAAAAAATAGCTTATTCCAAGACATCACGTAGCCAAGTCATTTAAATATTTAGTTAAAATAGGTATCAAAAAGACAAAATTCTCAAATTTGCAAAGACTGGACATCCGAGTATAGGTATATTTTCTAATCTAGCAGAAAACTATGAACGGTGTTGCCGTGGTAACTAAAAATAGAAATTTCTGTGAAATTCATTCAAAAAGCTACTCCTCCTACTATTTTTGTCTGATTTCTATATAATTTGGCTTACAAGTAGACAACACTGTGATACATAAGCATATATATTGGTTTTTGATTTCAATTAAGAAATAAATAACAAGTTTATAAACATCAATGGGAATTGAAGTTGGTCGATCACCTGATCAAATCCTGTGAAGGCCGAAGGCCTTCTCAGAAGATTTGATCACGTACCGACCCACTTCAATTCCCACTGAAGTTTATAACCTTGTTATTTATTTCTTATATATACATTTGAGACAGACTTTTGAATATTTAAATTATTGCACTAATTGTCCGTCGTAGATTTTGAACGATGACACAAGGTGTAAATCGGCTTGCATGGCGGTTACGCTTCGAATTCATTAGGCTTCGGAATCTATTTCAAAAGGAATATTTTGTGAAAGTCTACTTGTGATCAGTAATACTGAACAGATTGTTCTCTGGAAATATTTTTACTCGTGAAAAAATTTATAATTGATGCTGAAGACACGAGAAACACGACCGAAGCTTGATGATAAAAAATTTCGGTTGCTGGAAAGGTATGGATAGATCCGATGGATTGAGACACTTGTCCGAGCCGGTTAATTTGCAATTTGATCAAAAACATTCTACGATTTTAGTAACTTTTCGTAAAACACTGTTATATATAAACACAGAGACATTGGCGACAGCTTTACATTGAACTGCGAAAACGCCGAGGTGATTGGCAACTGTTCATGGCATGATTGCAATATTTTCTAACAGATTTACACATTTATCGTGAGAAGAATTTAAAGAAAAAATAATAGTTGATCATGAAAATTTAACCAAAGGTCTAGCCCAAAAATAAGGATGATCGTTAGAGACTCTGCAGCTGACATAAGTGAAAAAAAACTGTAAACAAACGTTATAGTTTTCTCTATGTATAGGCCTTTACACTGTAACACAGGTTGAATCTATAGCCAAAAACCTGTATGAAATACTTGTTTACATTCTAAATAAAACAAATATCATTTTACTTGCTAATTTTGATCATTTTTATACATGAAAAGCAAGTAGAGCAGGTCATTTTATAAATCATGTACCGGTAGATATTATTGCGCTGTGTGATTAGGTCACATATTGACCTCTGACCTCTGACAAACTTCATACTAATTGAAGATATTTTCTTTCTGTATGTTTATATAATGGAGAGATACCACAAATATATATATATTGAACGATGTTGTCGTGGTTACTAAAGGTAGAAATTTTTGTAAATCCTTTCAAAATGCTGCGCCTTCTACAGTTTTTGTCTGATTTCAATAAGATTTGGCACATAAGTAGACTACACTAAGATACATAATTTTTAATATCGGTTTTTGATTTCGTTGAAGGGTGTTGCCGTGGTTACTAAAAAAAGAATTTTCTGTGAAATTCTTTCAAATGCTAAACGTCCTGCAGTTTTGGTCTGATTTCAGTATTACTAGGCACACAAGTACAATACACTAAGAGACAAAATTATGTATATCGGTTTTTAACTTCTATGAACATTATTGCTTGGTTACTTAAAAAGTAATTTCTGTGAAATTCTCTCAAAATGCTACTCCAAATACAGTTTTTGCCATATTATATCATAATGTTGCATGCAAGTAGACTACACTAAGAACATATAGGGACATAATCAAGGATCATTATTCTATTTATTGATGTTGTGTTCCAATTCCCAACTGCTTATGTACATTTCTCCTCCGTTGCTAGAAGTACAAACCAGTAGAGCTTCAGTCTCGGCAGAGACGTCTGGTTTTTTTAGCAACAGCTTCTGAAAAAAATGAATTTTTAAAAGTTGATAAACATACAAAAATATTTTAAATTTAACAAAAATTGAAGTACCCGGTAGTTAGGTTGTATCATTAAAAAAATTATGAGATGAATATGTTTTTATTTAATCATTTTTACCCTCCAAATGAACAAGACCCCTAATGTGAAGTGCATTCTTTGTCAAGGAGATGTATAATGTAAACCTGACCTGTGTTTACAGTGTAAAGAGTGACCGGGGACTCTTACTCCTCTTATAAGAAAAGCGTACGGGGATTTACACCGGGTTGTACTCAATACACGCTGTAGAATAAAATCCGGGGAAAATCCTCGTACACCCTTGATTGAAGGCGGAAGTATGTATTGAATGCAACCAGGGGTAGATGCCCGCATACTCTTAATTGGACCTGGATAACTAATACTATCTTTTTTGCCCAAAAAATTATAAAAAGCTTTTTCCTTTTTAAAAACTGTTTTGGTTTTCTATGTCTTTCAGGAGATAGTGTTCTTAGAGGCTAGATCTTCTAAATAATGGCTTCAGGATCAACTGCCCTGTATAAAGTCCGGCGACGTTCTTCATGTCAGGGGGAAACAGAATTCTACTGTAACTCATGTAAACATGACTTGAGACAACAGTGTAAAGAAAGACGTGTTATTGAATTACGCACCAAGCACCATGATGTTGAAATGTACAGGGAAATATACAACATTCTGGAACAGGACACATGTATGAGACATATAGAAAAACTCTATGAAAAATACTGTGATTCATGTAAATTTTCTTTCTGTGATCAGTGTAAAAAACACCAACAACTCGAAATACTGGACATTAGAACAGCGTATAAAACTATCCGTGAACAACACAGAGACATACTTCAAAGGATCAGAAGTGGAAATCTGTATAATGAAAAAAACGAAATCTTCAACGTTATTTCAAAGATGACGAGAAAAGCCCAAAGACTAAAGGACATCATTGTCACTGTTATGTGTGATTATAAAATCAGAATGAGGTACAAATGTCTCATGATAAATCATGGTTTACAACGAGAAAGGAGAACCCTTGCCAGGATAGAAAACTATGAACACAGATATGAACAGTCAGCCAACAGAGCTGTGAGACTCCTCTTTTTCATAAAAAACGTCTTTGTCCCTAATATAACTCCTTATCTTACTAAACACGCCTTGCTCTCTCTGCCCGAGCAAATCAACAAGGAGGATGTGGTTGAGTTTCTGAGTGAAGTCCAAATCATAGACAGAGGAGAAAGACAAGTAAGAGATGTATTTCTGCTGGAACTGGAGTCTACACCTGTGGTACATAGAACTATAGAACTGAAACCATTTGGTCGTATAACACACATTTCTTGTCTTAATGCAGACCGGATCTGGATCAGTGTTAGACACTCTTATTCTACTGTTTTAATCTTGACAAACACAGAAGGGAACACTCTGTACCATCATATATTTCAAACTGATTATTCAAGAAATGCTTTATATGGAGAACACACAGTAAATAATAAAGGGGAATTAATTTATGTAGACACTAACAAAAATATTCACAAACTTTCTCCAGGTAATGGAATGAAGTCTACACTGATAAAGGGAACAGACACATGGCAACCATTGTGTGTCTATTTCTCCCCCGCCAATGGAGATCTACTAGTCGGTATGTTTAGTTATGTTGAAGAGACATGCAAGGTAAACCGATACAATATTACAGGGCAATACATACAGGCCATACAACACGACAACAAGGGTCAACGACTGTACAGGGGCCCTAAATACATCGTGGAGAACAACAATGGAGATGTCATTGTGTCTGACTTTAACCAGGTAGTTGTGACCGATGATGAGGGAAAATATCGCTTCACCTACACAGGAATTCCATCAGGATCACTAATACCACGTGGAATCTGCACAGACTTGCTGTCACACATCCTGGTGTGTGATCATAACACTAACACACTGCATATCATTGACAAAGACGGTAACTTGTTGTCACAGATACTGACACGAAAGCAAGGACTTCATACACCATACAGCGTATGTTATGACAACAAAACCCATTTCCTCTGGGTTGGATCATGGGAAGACAATACAGTGTGTGTATATAAATACTTGACAAGAGAATGCTGTAGGACAGGTAATTATTGTTCATTTATTAGATATAATTACAAAACCTTAATTGTACTATTTCATTTTTCTCATAAGAATTTGTAACTAATTAGAGAACATATGGCCATGTAAGTATATTGTTAGATAACAACTTCTGATACTTTCAACAATGGTATATGTACATGTTGATTTCAACACTAGTATTCTTAAAAGGGAAAAAAATGGTTAAAATTGGCACCCAATTTAAAGAAATATTAAACTTTAAACTAAAAGCTCAAAACTAAAACTACCAGTGATGCTACAGATAAGTTTTGATTGAGATGCATTTACATTTCGATTGTGCATTTTTTTTTCTTTGATTGCAGGTACTGATGTAGCTGACCAGTCTAATAAATTCAACACAAGGAAAATCTTTGTGAATGTATGAAATAGTTTGCATTGCATATGCATGCACGGGTGCTTTCTTAAAATACATTAAATGATATTTAGATAATATCATGGTTGTAAAGAAGTATATACATACATGGTATGGACCATTTAAGGCCCCCACTCAGAAATTGTTTATCTTCCAAATGGAGAGGTATAAGGCAACGTTCTTATTCAAATATATTTAACTTGATCAGGCATTCCCTTGCCATGAAAACTGTCGTCAGTAACATATACCTTCAGACCTCTAAACCAGGCATTTAATGTCGTCAATTGCTATTTAACCAATCTTTAATATTGATACCAACTATATTGTCTTATGTTACTGATTGCATACTGTGGGATATGTTCAAGTGGCTGTTTTATCAAGAACATAAATTTAGATTTAATAGGTACATGTATTCTGTAACCATTGCTTTCATTGACAATTAAGAAATCGGTAATTTTGGTAGCATCTATAAAATCTTCAATAATTGTTTATATTTATATTTTTGGATACCCTATGCTGCTTCTTTTACATAAAATATATTTAAATTGATAGGTTATTCCGTTGCCATTGCAACCATTTAAAAAAAACATATTCCTTCAGATCAGTTTTTGTTAATATTCACCTAACAAATACAATCTTTAATTTTTGATACTTCTTGGGATTTTTTTTTTTTTTTTTTTTTTTTTTGCTTTTTTTTTTTTGCTTTGCTTTTTGTTAAACTAGATATTTATTTTAAGAAAAGGTATAAGGCAACGTTGTTACTAAAAATATATAATTTAACTTGATCAGGCATTCCCTTGCCATGGAAACCGTCGTCAGTAACATATACCTTCAGACCTCTAAACCAGGCATTTAATGTCGTCAATTGCTATTTAACCAATCTTTAATATTGATACCAACTATATTGTCTTATGTTACTGATTGCATACTGTGAGATATGTTCAAGTGGCTGTTTTATCAAGAACATAAATTTAGATTTAATAGGTATTCAGTAACCATGGAAAACGTCTTATAACTTATTCCTTCATATCTGAAATTATGGCTTTCATTGACAATTAAGAAATCGGTAACTTTGGTAGCATCTATAAAATCTTCAATAATTGTTTATATTTATATTTTTGGATATCCTATGATGATTTTTTTACATAGAAAATATATTTAAATTGATAGGTAATTCCGTTGCCATGGCAACCATTTAAAAAAAACATATTCCTTCAGATCAGTTTCTGTTGTTATCTACCTAACAAAAACAATCTTTAATTTTTGATACTTCTTGCAATTTTTGGTATTAAGGGACGTGGTTATTGACAGGAATCAATTTTTCCGATAATAAATTTGTAATAACTTTGTAACTAAGAAACATGAGAAGCTTATATTCTAGCAGATATGATTTATGACGATTAAATTTCTGATTTAAAGTGTTTTCAAAAAAATGGTATGTCATGGTCAGTTTTAAAATTCAAGTCACTGGCAGATAAAAATATGAAAAATGCTATCAAGTGGATTTTATCAGTTGTCATTTTATAGAACAATTCTTATAAAAATACATTTGTATCATTCGGCTTTACAGTCTATTTTACAGTATGATCATTTATATTTTGCATAGGATGTTTTATATATGAAGTGAAGAAAAAAAAGTTGAACATAGAGTAACTGTTGTAATTTTTATGTATTTTTAAATTATGCATGATTCTATCTAAAGGGTCGCCCGCTTGGCGAAGTGGTAAGAAAGTCTGCTATAGGCTCGCGAAATAAGGAATAAATCCTTACGTCGCTGGTTCAAATCCCAGCGTTGGACGTGGAGGCCGGTCCTTCGTAAGAGACCGAATAAACCGAGAAACAGTGTCGCAGTAGGTGATTGCACGAAAAGGATCTCAAACTGCTCAATAGCCCTTAGTGCCGAGTATAGGTTAGAATTTGAAGCCCTGTACCGGTGTAACGTGGAATATTGACCTAAGTTGAAAATTGACCCGGGGATCATTTTTCATCGTTGAATATTGAACCGAGGGTTTTTTTTTAATATCCGTTAAAATTTGAGAGCAAAAGTCGTTGAATTTATACCCAGGGTCATTTTTCAAAAGCTTAATATTTTTTCTTATCTCCGATGACCTCAACACGTTGAAAATTGACCCTGTTGAATACTGACCCCATCTCAAAGTTTGAAGATTTTTTTTTAATTGCGATATTGTTTAACGGGAGTATCTCTATATTTATACGATTTTCATTTTTCCCTCTTCAAGAATGAGAGAAATAAATCTATCATCCCTTACATATATGTATAAATACGATTTCAGTTATCTTCAACCGTGACAATTTATTTTTTGACAATAATTTCTAAAATCCATAGCATCCATAAATAACCATAAAACTATAGGAATATAGGCATAAAACAAAAATATTGGAAATCTAGTGTCTAGAAAGTGAGCTCCAAATATATTGAACAGTTGGGCAAAACAATCCATCTAGTCAAATTCAGCATAAAAAAAATAACAAAATTGATAGCCTAAAAATTAGAATAAAGTACATCAGACAAAATGAATCCACAAGTATGTAATATTTGTGAAAAGATCAATATAGTGACCATAACATGTAAGTAATGCTGACTTTAAACAAGGTTTGTGCAATCCCTGTAAACAAACTCATCTGACAGTAACCTGCCTCGGCCTAAAAATCCATTGTTTTCGGAGTGTTACCTTGAGAATGAGAACTAGAGTTAGAGTCTGTGATGGACTAGAAGCTACACCTCTCACCATCTTTGATATCAACAATTAAAATTAAACACCATCCCTGCAACGTCCTGTGTTCTTACCAACTAAAAGGAGCATTCCTCCTCAACAGAGAAACTGAGAGAGAGAGGAGGGGGAATTGTGTCAAAACGCTCTGAAATATTGTGACAAAAAATCATAAACAAAATAAACAAAAGAAACGAAACAAACAAGCAAGCAAACTAAAAGGGGAAAATGAAGGTAGCTAATGTTGAAAAACAAACCCTGAAATTGGATGGAAAGGCCGCTTCAGAAATTCCTCACAAAATATCCCGGGTTTGGAGGGATGGGGATGAATGTTATATTTTAGATACTTTATTTTAAAATTGAAATAATGCTGAAAGTCAGGGTTGTGTATCTAAGGAAAACATTTTTGGATTTAAAAAAAACTACAAAAATGAAGAACACAGTCTAGACAAAAATTAAAAAAATCTTCTATTGGTACTACATGTAATCTTCAAAAAGGGAGATTACCCCCTTTTCCATCGTTCTTGAACTGTTTGATTAACTTTGCAAAAAGATCACTTCATCTTTTATTTTGAAAACAAAAACCCGTTTTTCAAGTTACACATTATAAGTTATTAATGTTGTGCAAGTGTAAATATGCATTGAAACGAACGTGCACCATGCGTAAATCTCTCTATTTCCAAAATACAGGTATTACGAATTCTAAAATTAAAATAAATGAAGTGCTGTTAGCAAATATCAAACATAATTTTTAAAAATCTGAACTAAAGTGTTTATTGTGTAACTATGTTTACTAATATTCAGGATTTACATTCACAAATGTACTTCTTTTAAATAAACATCACACAAAATGTTGCGATTTTTAGCTACATGTACATGTGACTTTGAAATCTTAGATATATTTGTTAATGTTTTATTTGTAACGGGAAACCTATACGTTTCCATAAATCCAGATTCAGTGATTTACAGAGAGAACACACTGGTATAAGGTTAACAAAGGTTTATTACATAAATAGAATAAATAAAAAAGTAACAGTGAAGAACAAAATAAACAATCTAGGGGATGGTGGAATTATACCTACTCATAGTAATGTTAATCGAAAACTGTGTCCTGCTCGTTGCGAACGTCACGGTGGTCAGGCCGTCAACAGACGCACGGGCGTTGCCCAGAACGGCCTGACGCACGCGCAAAGTCGGCAACGAACCCGACGTTAAATATAATGCAATAATAATATAATAGCATAGAATTACATAATACAATATTACACTTCATATTAATACATGAACATTCTTAGATACATTGTCTATACTATTTTCAAAATTTTTAATTTTATTTCCGACATGTACATGTATATTTTCAGAAATTTTCGCAAGCCAACTTTCCGACAGCATATTGTACTAAGCAGTACATGTATATGGAAAAAGAATTGATGAAAATACTTTAAATCACATTTCAAAATATAAAATAAAGCATAATAATGTCGGAAATGGAAAAGTTGAAATTTTCAAAAAGCAAAACAAAACAAAAACCAAAGAAAAAAAAACAAAAAAACAAACAAACATATAATCTGAAATGAAATGCAGTAATATGCCCCATCCCGATATGTATATTTAGTGCAACAAAATATGTTCAAATCATCATCAAATATAAAACTATGACTTGACTGATATACTGTTTAAAATTAAAATAATTTTAAACTCCAACCAAATTTACAATTTTTTATCGGGGAAGAAAAAAAGAAATGAAATAAAAAATGATTATAGACATTAAGGAGGGCTTTTTAAACTATCATATCCATTTCAATGGATAATTTTTTTCCAAGAAAATTTTGTACGATAGAGTAAATACAAATGTTTTCACCCATATTTTCAATTTTAATAACTTTTAAGTTATTTCGTATCAGTGAATAATGACAAAATTGTACGATCATGAATGAAAGGTGTCGACACTCTTGATTAATATTACAGACATGTACATGCGTCGTCTCAATTTCCACTTAAAGATTAATGTATCCCCAGAGTTCCAAGTTATCTTTCTTTCCATTGTTAGGATTAAAAAAAACAAATTTGTGTCCTCTGCTTAGGGAAAAAGTAAACAATGCCCATTTTTTCGGGGGGGGGGGGGGGGGGTCGCATCTCCCTGACTGAATTTGTAGAATTATTAAATGTATATAATAATTATGTAGCATTAGAATAGAATATTTATTCAACCAATTTGGGCCCACAGTGGAGCATACAGAACAGTGTCCAAATTCATCACAGTTATACATATACAAAACT